ATTTGTTCGTGCTCTGTTGTTACCTGCATCTCGATCAATTGTGGGGCGACGGTGGATCGAAATTCACGAACCCTGACATCTTGAGATCAATGTATTGAATTTCGTGTAAATTGGTTAATGTGATAAGTATTGTGTGATTGATTTGATCCAAGTAATTTCTTTCGCATTACTAGCCCTGTAGCTCAAGGTGGTGTTTGTGATCGGTGTATTTTTTCATATAAGATTGGTGATTCAACTTTTGCATTGTTTTACATTGAGGTAAATTGATTTCGCATAAATAGCTTTCATGTGTTTCAGGAAAAAATGGGTGTTCATGTAAAGTGTATACCCTTGTGATCTTGAAAAACATTCTGATATAGGACTTGAATGTATATGTTTTATGTATGTGTTCTGTTATCCCTCTGAATGTGGCTGGATACATATTGATTTCTGCCATTATGTAGAAGTAGTGCCATGGGTGTTTATTTTTCTTATCTACTGGGTGCTATTTTTTTCCATCTGAATCTACTTATTAGGTGTTGAAGCTAAAGATGGGACTGTATCGGTTGCTTCTGCATTTTCTGGTCATCAAGAAGGTAATAGCAATTCCACAATTCTTAAATTTAAATTTTTGAGCATAAATTTTCCCTTGTTTACAATGTGATGCCAATTAGTAGATTATTGTTTGCAAGTTATATAATGTATTCATAAGCTGAAAGAGCATATCACAAGCTTAGAGAAAGGAATGAAAAAACTACACATTTTTTTTCCTCGAAATCATTTCAAGGAGCTAGTAAATTGTGAGATTTTTCCATCAAGGAACTTATCATTTGCATATCTATATGTCCTGTTATATGATATACGTTATATTTACATATCCGCTTCATGTTTGTTGTTTGATATGTTTGCTTTTGGCTTTGCTTCTTACTTTTCTGTATATAATAACTGATTATACAACCAACAACAACAACAACATACCCAGTATATTCCCAACAAGTTGGGGTCTGAGGGGTCAGTTGTACGCAGACCTTACCCTTGTAATTATACAAGGAGGCTGTTTCCGTAGCGACCCAAGGTGCATTGCGCCGTTTGATATATTTTTTTTTTTTCTAGAAACTCACTAATAGAAGAAGCACTAGAATTTAATTGAGCCATTTTGATTTAGTCCATTATTAGCACTATGCCAGGAGAATTGTCAACAATGACTCTTCCAGCTCCATTTGCAATGGACAACAACTGATTATACAATAATGCAGAATGATATTTATAGGAAACAAATACATCGATTTGTGGGGCTTATATAAAATTTACTTGGGGCTGGGGGTACCTGAAACACAAACCCTACACATTCCTTGATCTGACATTTCACCATTAGCATCTGTATGTCCAACTATTGTGTGATTCCCTTGCATGGAGATACTCTAATTTCATTGCAGTATTTATTTGACACTTGAATGTTGGATAAAATTGTCATTTAAAAGTGGTAACAGGAGCCACAGATTTTGCTTTCCTGGCTTCTGCGTATTGCTAGTAATAAACTGCCTTATCTCTTTATATTAGTTGTTGAAGCCAATGATGGAACTATATCTGTTGCTTCTGCATTTGCTGGTCATCAAGAAGGTAATGCTGTTCCTTTTTCTTTTCCTCTGATAATGAAATGGTTACAGCCAGCACCAAGATTAAAAGTATATAATCTATTGAACATTAATCTTTTAGAGACCTGATTTATATAAAGTTGCCTCTATATTCATATCCTGGTTCTTGAGGCCATAGATAAAGCCAATTACTGGTAGGATATTTATAACGAGGCGCATGATGAAGAGATCCAAACATAATTGGTCATAGTCATTCATTTTTTACTGTTGGTAAAGAACGAAAAACGCTGGCTCGTCAGTTGGGAAAGAGAGATAGATCAATATAGATTTTAGCCGAATTCTATGAAGTAGAATCCATAAATGAATTTTGTACATTGAGACAGATTTTAGTTGACTTAGTTGGTGGTACACAATAAATCAATGATATCGGCCTGAGAATGTTTTCTTTCATGTAATAAATGCTTCAATGTTTGTTTTTTCAATACACTAATTGACTATTTCATAGAATAAATATTTTTATTCCTTAGGTACCTTTATAAAATTGTATAACAATTGTCCTGTGGATGCTTTGGTTTAAAAACTAACTCGCTTGAAGATATAAAAGTATACGCCTTTTCATGCTCTTATGCTCGTCATTCTTTTGTTTGGCTTTTTCCTGAGATAGTTTTTGTATGCAATACACTAGTAAATCGAGCAATATAAACTCTGTTCTTTTATTGGCCACAGCTGTTCAGGACAGAGATCACAAATTCTTAAGAAGAGCAGTTGAAGAAGCTTACAAAGGTGTAGAATGTGGAGATGGAGGTCCTTTTGGTGCTGTTGTGGTGCTGAATGGTGAAATTGTTGTCAGCTGTCACAATATGGTTATCAAGCAGACAGACCCTACTGCTCATGCTGAGGTCACAGCAGTACGAGAGGTTAGAATAACTATGTTAAAACATGGGATATGTTTGAAGTGAAAATGTATGCCGCCAGTGACTCATTTGCCAATATTGATAAAAAAAAATATAGATATTTAATCATTCTGAAAAATTGGTTATCTAATTTATCTTTGGATGACTGATTCTGCAAAAAGTGTCTGATTAACTTGAAACTAAGCATAGGGCTGAGGGGTCTTAATGTGTGCTGCAGAAAACAAAATTTTGTAATTCAAGAATGTCAACTATATAAATAGGTTAACAAAGGCAGCAACTGTAGCATTTCTTGGGATTATACTATATCTATAGGATTGTAATTAGATTTTCTATTTTTTCTCTTCATAAAAAATTCTGGTGCAATTGGATATGCTTTCATTGGTTTTTTTTTTCTTTTTTTTTTGCCTAGGGGGAGTATATTAAAATTTGTTTGGAAGATTTTGGAAAAATATTGATTGGTGAAAAATGGAAATGTAACGATTAAAGGAAAATGTGCAGTAATGATTGTTTTTTATTTTAAAATTTAAATAATGAAATTGAGGAGGGAAGATTGAGATGAGTGAATAATGTACCTTTTAAGGAAAATTTCGTCAGTGAGATGAAAATTATAAAAATTAATGTCCAATCGACCATTTTTTCCTTAGGTTATATGTTGCATATTGTATCAATTGATTTAGTTCTTTGTCTTAAGTAGCTCCTCAAGAAGATAATGAAGATCACCAGAGGAGGGAGTATTTAAATGGAATGTAAAGATCTTACAATCAATGAATTCGAAAAAAAAATAGAAGAAAAGGCATCCACCTTCTTGTTTTATAGTTTGTCCATTCATTCAATTATATTGTAATTTATATAATAGCCTACTTATTCTCTATATATTTCAATGACAATTATTCACATTTCACTTTGATACATTTTCTTTGATCTTTGAGGTCCATAGTCCTATTGAAAGTCAGATGTAGCATGACATTTTGGATTGCCAGACTTAACTTTGTTAGTTATAGGAGATCGTCAGAAGAAAATCATATGGAATAATAGAACATATATATATAGATTGGTTCCAATGCATCCACTTATTTAAAGTGAGGACGTGAGACGCATTTTTAGCCACAAGATTTGGTGTGTGGCCAAGATTTACTTTTTTCGTTTTATTATTTATTTAAATATTATTTTGACCCGTTGACTTTCGGCATTGACCGTTGACTTCCGGCGTTGAATCTGGCGTTTACCGTTGACAACTAACCTTCCAACTAGGTTAGTTCTCTGTAGTTGCTAGGTTAGTTCTATGTAGTTGCTAGACTAGTTCTCTGTAGTTGCTAGGTTAGTTGTCCATAGTTGTTAGGTTAGTTCTCCGTAGTTGCTAGGTTAGTAGTTGCTAGGTTAGTTTTATGTAGTTGCTAGGTTAGTTGTTTGTAGTTGCTAGGTTAGTTCTCTGTAGTTGCTAGGTTAATTCTCTGTAGTTGCTAGGTTAGTTCTCTGTAATTGTTAGGTTAAGTTAGTTCTCTGTAGTTGCTAAGAGTTGTCCGCATTTAAGAGCTGTCTGCATTTTAAGAGCTGGCCGCATTTGATCTGCCCTCCTATATCCCTATATATATAGATATATATATAGATAGTTCAGCTTCAGAATAAATTCATTGGTGTCGGCTTATGTGGAAAGATGACTTCTTTTCCTGTGTCCCCTTACAATTTATTACAATTTATAAATTCATCGTTTTTATTTTGTTAAATTTTCCAATTATACTTACCCTAGTTATCATATATATATCTGTAAGTCATGGAATCCTTCTATCATGGTATGCAGTTCCCATTTTGTTTGAAGATAGAATCTATTTGAACCTTTTCTGGTCCATTAAATTCGAGTTTCACATATCATAATTGCTCACGCTTCTCATGCTGGTGCTTTTGTTTCAGGCTTGCAAGAAGCTCAACAGACTTGAGCTCTCGGACTGTGAGATTTATGCTTCTTGCGAGCCATGCCCTATGTGCTTTGGTGCCATCCATCTTTCTCGAATCAAGGTCTAGTGCTCAAAGTTCATTTTCTATATCGAACAATTTATGTTTCCAGGTTTTTTTCTTGATCCTAAATTTGAACTTTATACCCCCAATTTCTTTCAGAGACTAGTTTATGGAGCCAAAGCAGAAGCTGCTATTGCCATCGGTTTTGATGACTTCATTGCTGATGCACTTAGAGGAACCGGGTTTTATCAGAAGGCTAATTTGGAAATTAAGAGAGCTGATGGTAACGAAGCCGTTATTGCAGAGCAAGTTTTCGAGAAAACAAAGGCCAAATTTCAACTGTATTAAGAAAAACGTTCCTCCCTAATTGTTTCCATTGGGCACTCACTTGATGACTAACAAATTGTTTCCATTGGCATTTGTGCAAAACAATAAATGCTTTGAAATATTGGAATTTGTTAAATAGGGTATTGGTGAACATATGATCCTGGATTCGCCATTTGATTTGTTATGAAATTGAGAATGATGGACTAATTCCCGATTTGGCATAGGGAACTGCTTTTTCTCCTTGATTTTCACTGAAACTGTGCACGATTTCAAGTAGTATGCATCACTTTGACATGTATACGTTTGACCACAACATGTCCACTTATCTACGATATCGCCACCTCACATTTGATTATTATTTAATCAAATTTAACTTCATCATAAATTGTTGATATGATGGATCCGATGATTCACATTCATTCTTATTTCTTTGATTATACCTCATTCTCATTTGAACTCACTTCTATACACATATATATTGATATAGATATATTACATTATGAATATTCTGAAAACTGGTTTATTGATTAATTGTATCTATAATTAGATATTTTGTTAACATGGAGGTGCAAATCCCTTATATATAATTGCAGAATGCGCTGAGTTTAAGTGGCAGTCTCTCATGCTTTGGAATCCTACTTGGCGAAAAAACATGCTTCGTAGTTTGGTTTGGATAAAAAATGATATTATTCTAAATCAATAATTTTAGGTTCGGACATTCCAAAAACATTGAAAAACTAACTTGGTAATTCTATAATAGTTTGACTAATAGTCTAATATAACCCTTAAGTTGTATTGAAACATTTGATAATAGTTTGTTTGACTAATATAACCTTGATTTGTTTGGGAAACTCTCAATTGGCTCATTAATTTCCTTGAAAACCTCAAATTAGCCTAATAAATATATATATTTAATTTTAAACAATTGATTTTGTTAATATTATATAATTTTAAAAATAATTTTCTTAACAAGTATTGTATTAGTTTTTCATTGTAAGAGAGAAATGATTTTATTTTGTCAATTAATTTATTTATACATTTCCGCAATATGTAACATGATTGTTCAATTCCTTTCCAACTTTTCATAACAAAAATGAACAATCAGAGAGAAAATTAAATCGGTGGCATCATTTGACCAACAAATGACTTCAAATCACGCCGAAAATATAAAATAAAATACAAGATAAACTGTCATTAAAATATGATTTAGTATAAAAATTTATTTTGAAAAAAAGTATACTAGTATATATGTAACATAAATCAATAGCTGAAATCATGCCACAATTAATTCCACACGTATTTTCATAATAAAAAATGATTGAATATGAGCAGTTACAACTTTTACTTAAAAGAAAAAAAAATATTAATAATATAGATTTGTAAAATCTTTTGGAGGGAAAAGCTTTGAGTTTTTATTAAATTTTTTGCTAGTAATTATATACTAGTACAATACTCGTGTATTACATGGATGTTGAATTAGAAAATTTTTGTAAAAAATATTAAATTTTTTATTTTTTAAAAATTAAAATAATTTAATTTTATATAAAACATTACTTTGGGTTTTAATTAAATTGTCAAATTATATTTTTTTAATCATAATAATTAAACACCCGTACATTAAATGAAAATGTCAACCCGTGTTGAATTTTTTTACTTATATCATATAAAAATATTGATATTATTTAATATTACATAAGTACAATATATATCTTAAATAAATAAAAATAATATGGTGATATGTATATGCATAAGTGTAGAATATGCTTATTTAATATTAAGTAAAATAGATTATTTTTTTTACTTAATTAGATGTCTAATACATCAAGTGTCGTATCAGTCGTACTTCACAATTTTTAACTTTATATGTAATTTTAGAATTTATATAAATAATTATTTATTTTTATTACATTAACAACATACCAATTAGATTTGAAATAAATATCATTTTTAAAAGAATATATACCAATTTCTATCACTTTATAATATAATTTATAATTTTATTTGATATAATTTAATTTAGTTTGATAAATAAATTTAAATGTTATTTATAAGGATATATATTACGGTTTGGTATTATATATATATAAATAAATAGTAAAATACAAATAGACTTCATAATATCAATTCAAATGCAACATACTAATTAGGATTTTTTTTTCTTGACAATATTAACCCTATTTAATAGATAATATGGGAAACGGTGCAGATGAGATATGAAGAGACACTGTGTATTAAATAGAGGGTTAAAAATAAAAAAATATGAACAAAATATCTAAAACAATATTTATTTTATCAATGATCAATTAAGCTAAAGTGACAAATAATAAAAATAGGAGGGAGTATATATTATATATTTTAGTATGACACATGTTACTTGTGCGACTTATGTGTTATATTATAATAAATTTTCTACCTTATAAAATATAACTACATTAAACATAAATATATTAATTGATAAATAATTTTATTTTATAATTAATTTTAATAAATAATTTTATTATTATTATAAAAATAAATATATTTTATTTATTTTATGTATACAATATGGATGTCAAATCAAAGCTCATTAAAAGATGATTAATTTGATATATTATATATGTAAACCGATAAGAAATACAAAAGTTATCAATTTTTAAAATATATTTGCAATTCATCTATACTTATAAAAAAAGAATTACTATTTACTAAATATAGCAAGCAAAACAAATTTCAAAATTTCTAAATAAGAAAGGGATAGAAGTTTAAATAAAATATGGTTGCTTTAACAAACTTATAGGGAAAACAGAAAAAAATAAAAATAAAAAAAATCTTTAATTCAAATTCAATTGTTAACAATTTTCTAATAATTTTCATGCAAATCTTTAATTCAAATTCAAATGTTAACAATTTCCTAATAACTTTCCTACAAAATTGTCTGCATAAATAATGATAGACATGAAATTTAGCAGTATTCAAAAGTTAAAGAGTCTTTATTCAAATTGTGGAGAATTTAAAATGGTACGAGTTGCATCATTCATTTTAGTAAAAAAAAGAAAAACATAAATGAATTTATTAAAAAATGAACTTCATTTAATTAACTTGCACTAATTATAAATACCATCCATGCAAACAGAAAAAAAAAATCAAAATTATATTTATACAATTAAAAAAAGAGTATGCTACAACATTGGATATTAATCCATACATCATAAGTACTCACTTAATAAATCTTCACCACATCATTTGTTGGAATCAAAAACTTAATAACAGAAAAAAAAATAAAAAAATGGGACTATGTTTACTTGAAAGACTATCAACACGTGTACAGATTTTTAAAATTCATTTTCAAATTGAAACTTTAAATTCGTACTCAAATTGAATTGAATAATATAATTTAATTAGAACTGTAGGAGTTTCTTAGAAAAAAACTATCAAGCAATTTGCATTGATTTTCAAAAACTGATAAATACTGATTTCTAAAATTATGGTGATTGTTTACTTGATATAGATTATGACCACGTGTACAGATTTTAAAACCATCATGAAATTCAAATTAGAATAATATGATTTAATTAAAACTGTAGAGTTTGTTAAGAACAAAAACTCTCTATGAGTTTGCATTGATTTTAAAAACAAATAAATACAGATTTCTTTTATAAAGAAATTATTTATTCGTATTTCATCACAAATCCTAAAGATGTGTACTTTGTTGATACGTGTTTGAATAAAAATCTTAATAACAACGAGGTTTTAAAATAATTACATAAAATTGATAAATGAAGTGTATGTAGCATGGAATTGTTAAGCATCAGTTTATTTATACGTTTGAACAAAAATTTTAATAATGAGATTTTAAATTTATTATATAAAATTGATAAATGAAGCATATGCATAAAGCATGGAGTTATTAAGCCTCCGTTTATTTTATACTCAAATTGATGATGGAATAATTTTCGGTATCATCTCAATATTTATTTTATATATAATATGTAAATCTCCTCTCAATTTTAATATTTTAGACATAAACTTCTTTATGTTCTTTATACAAGATAATTTTTTATTGTTACAATAAACTATATACCGTAAATTTTATCACATGTAACCCCACATATTTAATTTATAATTATAGTTAATATTATTTATCCTCATCTTTAATGTATAATTATTATTAGTATTATTTACCCGAGCATAGCACGAGCTACACACTAGTTGGTTATAATACAAAATTATATTAAATACAATTAATAAAAATATTAATTTATATCCAAGTCTAACTCCAAAGCATGATTTTTTGTCAAATAGGATTCCGAAGCATGAGAGTTTGCCACGTAGACTCAGCCCATTCTGAAATTATATATAGAGGACATATATATATATATATATATATATATATAGATTATTTCATACATCTATATTTTGTGTCAGGTAATATATCCATTCTAAATAAATGAAAATTAAAATCTCTCCTATAGCATCTCTAATAGGGAGGTTTTGCAAGGTTTGAAAATCTAAACCTGAGAGGTTTACCATTAAAATGCACAGGTTTGAGGTTTGAAATAGTAAACCCGTGTTGCAATCTCAAACCTCCTCAAAAGCTATGAGATAAAAGAAATAATTAAAGATAAAGAGAAAGAAAATTGCAGTGTGATCTCAACTCTCTCATTTCAAATGCACTGGCCATAGTCGTGTGTGACACGCGATAAAAAAACGTGAAAGAGATGTGGACCCATGTGATTCTTGTCTGCAAAAATTTTTTACATGTGGGACCAATGAAATTTGTTTTAGAGGTTTATGATTATATTTGTAAGAGTGAACATCAGGTTTTGGCTTAGGTGGCGCGTTGAGAATAAAAAGAAGTAGGTTTATGAATTTTACTACTAAAGTTGCCATATAAAATGCAGGTTCTGAGTCTAAAAGTATCAACATTTGGAGAGTGGGTCCCATATAGCTAGCTAATCATTTTTGTTAATACAATAGTTAATCAACAATTTGTCTAAAATTTTTATGGGAGAGTGGGTCCCATATAGTATCATATAGTATCAACAATAGCTAATTATTATTATATGGGAGAGTGGGTCCCATATAGTATCAATCAACAATCTGAATTGCTAAATACCGCACTCATTTTACTAATACCGCACCCTAAAATGACAATTTTGCCCTTTATTCTTATTTTTTTTTCTAAAAAAAATGTCCCACCTTCTAACCTCTTTATCGGTCGAACCGAGCACCGAAAAATTCTGAAAATACCTCCAAATAATTCCGGCGAAAAAATGCTATCCAACAAGACCGGTCATGCGGCGGTCGACCGGTCAAACCGGCCCTAAACCGGTCAAACCGGCCGCACTGGAACAAAAAATTTAATTTTTTTTTTATTTTTTTTTTGAAACCGGCCGGTCGCTGATTGCGGCTGCAACACGACCGGCCGAAGGCTGATTGCGGCCGCAACTCGGCCAGCCGCACGCGGCCGGTAATAGCGGCCACAACTCGCTCGGCCGCGCGCGGCCAGGCCAATTTTTTTTTTTTTTTTTTTTTTT